TTTCGCAAAGTTCTCCATGTTGTTCCGGCGTTCCAACACAATATTTCGCGTAACACCTAATTTACTTAGGGCCACCCAGCCTTGTTTTTTCCCACTATAGCTATGTGCATTCATCAGGCGTTCACTGCCTTATTCTTTCAGCTGCTTCTTGGGTGATACATTTTCTTGATTTACTTATTTTGATTTATTACACGTATAATATTTCTTTCTTGGGTAGATGGGGATTGCAATAGGAATTTTCTGGATGGCTAATCTATTTTCCTCTCATGGGACGCAAAATTGCTCATTTGCAAGGACGGCGGACTGGGAAAAGAGGAAGATTGAGGGAAATTGTATCGATGAGTAATGCAAAATTTTGCCTGAGTCTTTGAAAAATGCTGGATTGCGCTAAAATGTGAAAAAAGTCAATCCGCATTGAATAGTCCCAAAAAACGTATATTTCTACACCGTTAATTTAAAAAAAAAAAAAAGTTTGAGCAGATTAACAGATCGCTGTTCCGTTTTTGGCGAGAGCAAGTCTCGGGCACTGACTGCAATCATTAAATGATTTCAAAGAGGTCATAGAGGTCAGAATAAGAACTTACAGGTTGAGATGACCCTAGAATTATAATTAAGTCAAGCGAGGGATTACAAATAGTTTAGAACAAAAGGTGGTAATATGCATGCATGGCAGATAGCCAGTATGGGAGTTAGGATGGACGTAGGAAATTAGAATATTGTCGGCTGAAGGCTCAAGTTTTCCGCAGCGATGATTTTCCGAAATATTTGAAATTTGTTAATTTCTTCTACTTAATCGCCTCCATTTACAGGCATTTTTGCGGCGCAGGTTATATTGGACAGGACAGTTCATGTCGGTCCGACGCTCAGGCTGACGTTAAATGCCTTGTCCTTCTCCAGGTTTTCTATTTTTTTCTCAGAATTATCAATCGATTTGATTCGCAGTGCATGCTTATCCCGATTAACAAGATTTCCCAGATAATCGGCTTGCGCCGACAGATTTGCTAGTTCTCTCTGATTTGTGCTGCACGCATCCTACAACATGTAACCGCTGTTCGGAAACACACTGGTTTACGACTTCTTTTCCGTTCAATTTAACACTTCTCCCAAAAACTTTTCAGAGCAACCTTTCTCCCGAAACATCCCCTGCACACCCAATTCTGCCTCAGTATTTGCTTGGCCTTGCAGCAGTGAATCTTGTTAACTTAAGATTGGAATATCGTGCAGCATTCCCATTCTAAGCGTTAGCCGACGTCCCTCTCTCACTAAATGCAACCCAGGTTGGAACGCACCAGATTTGCCAGTGCGATCATGCGTTTTTGCACTAATCTCGCAGATCGCTAATAGCAGGAATGATTCCTGCGCTGTAACCTAACACTTGGGCTCATGTCAGCCATGCTTTGGCCCTTTCTAGCGTGCAGGAGAAAGGGCGTCATTTGGGATCAAGGTGTGCATTATGGAGTCGTACGGACTTCCAGATACATGATTAGCAGTTTTTTGCATGAAACCCGGTTTGTTTCTCCGGTAAATGCTCGCTTTTTGAAAAAATGGAAAATGCACATTTTTCGAAGGAATGCAAATTTCCCGTTTACTAAAAAGTGAAAGTGTTGCTCGAGCGGTCGTTCGCGAAAAAATTCAAGTATGCAAATGAACTGATGTTCGCTTACACATTTGATGAGGGCGGTCGTTCGCTGCAAAACGCACTCGTTCCTGATTTTTCGGTAAAGTTGAATATTTCTCACGCCTACCTGGAGGGAATTCTACCTCCAATCAGAGTCAAGATCGCACTTGAAAGTAGAATATCCCAGCGAATTTTCAGCGTCCGGCAAGCGAAATATCCACTTCGCTACAAGTATCTTTGAAGTGCCCTAAGTCGGGGCATAAGTGCAAATCGGTACTCATTTTAGGTATACTATTTCCAGTAGGAAGACAAACAACCTGGCAAAATTTCAGCCACTGTTTTCCAGTAAATTTTCGAGTTAGCATGGTACCAAGTCGCAAACATTGACGTGGTCGTACGCGCTGCACAAATGTGCGCGGTAGCTGAATTTGAAATGTTTAGCTCGCACATACGCAGGGAATATCTCTTCAAAATTTCAGTTTTGTACCTTGCCTGATTCGCGAAGTCGCTTCCCGCCAAAGAAATTTGTATATTTTCTTGGGGGGTTCGTACGCGGGGTCTAGGCGCGTGTGGGGGAGACCTTGAAACGGGATGGTGACATATGGGGTGGGAACATGTACCCGAAACTTCAGCCTCCTAGCTTTCTTGGTTGCTGAGATGAAAGTGGGTGACAAAATGCACTCGCTTTCGAACACACACACACATACACCTTCTCGACAATGTGCGTTTTTGCTGGCTGTAGCAGCGCTGTAGCGTTGCACAGCAAAAACGCATAACAAATGACCAAAAGCACTGCCAACACGTATGCACATGTTAAACTGCAAAGC